CCCCCCCCATCTATATTTTGTGGTGGTGCAGCTGTTGTTCGGATACCGGATGTGGTTCCTCGACTCAAGGAATGGGTCGAGGGCATCGTGAAACAAAGACCTTATTCCGAGCGTTCGTGGCGTGAGCTCTCGAAGGGCCGATGGGAGGCCCGTTCTCATGGTAAGAGTTTCCTTAAGTAACTTTGATTTCCCTTTCAAGTTATTGATTTCTAACTTGTTTTTACTTCTTTTTTGTAGATTTACCAAAAGATGTTGAGATGAGGCCTCCGTCCGGTGATGAAAATATATTCTTCGAGCCCCCTGACTCGGGACAGGATAAAGAGAAGAAAAGGAAAAAGGCTCTAAGTTCTACGGGCCCTGAGAAGAAGAGGCCAAAGAAAAGATTGGCTCGTAAACCCAAGGGAAGCACCAGTGGTCGAGCACTGTCCCTGGACTCGCTCTATCGACTGAGGGATGAGTCCGATGGGGGAGGAGAAGCCTTTGATCTCGTGGCCAGTATGCCGCAGCTCAAAGGGCAAGGGGCCTCCGAACCAGGAGGTGATGAGGCTGAATTTCATCATATCGGGGAGGCCGAGGTGGAGGCAAGAGTTGAGGTTTCCCGAGATGTGGGCAAAGCCTCGTAGGAAGCACTCGGTCCGATAGAGATTGCTGAGTTTCCCTCGTTCACAGAGTCGATGTTTAACGAGGCCCAAGCAATAAAAGAACGCCCCATCGAGGGAGCCCACAGATCGAACAACCTTTTTCGTGGTTTTTTTTTATGGCGTGGATTCAACGGCCACGGAGGATGCCATTGGATTTGGCGATCTAGAAATACCTAGGAAGAGCTCACCCTTTGAAGAAAGCGGGCCTTCCTCGAGCCCGAAATTGATTGATCGATTCCCTGCCCCGAGTGCATATCCCGATTGAAAACGCACCATTGTTTTTTCCCTTCTTGAGGATGCCCGGTTCCTTTCCGCCCTCGTAGGGGTGGCCAGCTATCTTCGATGCCTGGTGATCGAGTATGATCAAGCTAAGATGAATGAGGTGGATGCACCCTGCCTGTTCAACGAAGCTCAACAGGCGTTGAATCGGGTAACTTTGAATATCCCTTTATTATGTACTTGTAGGCTTTGGTAACGTTTTAATTTTATTAAATAATCATAAAATTTTCCTTTGTGTATGCAGGCTGCGTTACTTCATCACGAGTCTTTTCTCTGATACCGAAAAGAGTTCAAATGTGATGAGGTCAAGACTCGGGAGCTCACTAAGAAGAAGGATGCTAACAAGCTTCTTAGTAAGAAATCCCAGGCTGAGCTAGAAGTGGTTCGGAAGGAGTATGCCCACTTGGTCGAGCAGGTAAGAAGAATTTTTGAAGTTAGTCATGATGAGTCAGACACAATGG